AGTAAAAAAAAGTGTTTCTCAGTGAAGGACCTCTTTAAAATCGCATGGACAAAAAGCTCTTCTCTGCTTTTATAGCATCGTAGTATTTTTTTGTTCGTGTTGCTGCTCAATCAAAAATAACAGGTTTAGTTAGTGTCCTAGTTAGTGCTGCTGTGTTTAGTTGATTAGACACAATTAAATCCAAAACCAAAATCGTCAATAATAAAATAAAATAAATGTTTTTAAGTTTTGCAGTTCTCTCAAATTCCTGATGTACCCTCGGCTGCTTCGTCTACCTTTCTGCCCTTGATACGCATGTACAGGAGTGGTCTTTGGGGTCAGCCGTGGTGTCACCGGAAAAGCCAAAACAATCCTGGCAAACCGGCAACGGAGATCAAAAGTTTGGCAGGATTTTTTTAAAGCTCAAGAGAAGCATATGCAATGAAAAATCTGCAAGGTACAACCTGCCTGCCACATCAGTCCGACAGTGATGTAAGAGCTTCCTAAAGGGAAGAACACCATTTTTAGTTTCAGCTGCCTTTCATTTTTTATTTTTCTCTTTTGCTCTACAAGTTTAAAAGTTTATAAGATGTTGTTTAATAACAAACCATCCTAACTGTCTTGAGTTTTACAGGCAGCACAAACCACTTGAAGATAACACTCAAAGTTAGAAACTCACAATGATTTTATTAGAGTAGCTGCATGCTGATGCCATAAGCTACAGTGTATGCATGATCCGATTAGTTAAAAATCGCTAAAATAACTGGAGATTAGCCGGTTATCAAAAAAATTGTTGGTGGCAGGCTTATTCCTAATTAGGTCTGATGCAGGCATTTTTATGGTATTGATTGTAGTAATGTTAATTTTTGTCTCTCAATCTTCTCAGAAGTTTTGATGACAGCTAAAGAGCCCGTCTCTGCCACCTGCTGTGATTAAAAAACTGTTTGCAAAGTGAACTCTAGCTACTTTACACAATCTGAAATATTCTTCTACAAAATATCTTGCTTTAAAGACACACTTAGCTAGTTTGGGTATACATTCCCATAGTCATTCATTCAATTCAATTCAAGTTTATTTATACAGCGCCAAATCACGACAAGAGTCGTCTCAAGGCACTTCACATAATAAACATTCCAATTCAGGTCAGTTCATTAAGCCAATCAGAAATAATGTTTCCTATATAAGGAACCCAGCAAATTGTATCAAGTCACTGACTAGTGTCAGTGACTATACAGCAATCCTCATACTAAGCAAGCATAAAGCGACAGTGGAGAGGAAAATATACAACTATATAAGTAAGTTCAACTTAGGTATCTAGTGCTGGGAGTATCCCTTGATGCTTTTATTTTGGTGAGTCCCACCACAGCATTCTTTTTGCCTTTTCAGAAGAAAGAGCACCATTACAGTTGAAAGAGCCAAGAACCATTACGCTACAAAAGGATAAATAAATTTAGTGTGTCTCCCAATTTGTGAACATGATTCTAATACTGACCAAAATAATCAAAACTATGGTTTCCATAATCAGTGAGTTGTAAATAATGCTGCTTCACCAAACTTAAGGTGGGACAGTTACAGTGGTGTGAAAAACTATTTGCCCCTTCCTGATTTCTTATTCTTTTGCAGGTTTTTTCACACAAAATTTTTCTGATCATCAAACACATTTAACCATTAGTCAAAGATAACACAAGTAAACACAAAATGCAGTTTTGAAATGATGGATTTTATTATTTAGGGAGAGAACAAAATTCAAACTTACATTGCCCTGTGTGAAAAAGTAATTGCCCCCTGAACCTAATAACTGGTTGGGCCTCCCGTAGCAGCAATAACTGCAATCAAGCGTTTGTGATAACTTGTTACGAGTCTTTTACAGCGCTCTGGAGGAATTTTGGCCCGCTCATCTTTGCAGAATTGTTGTAATTCAGCTTTATTTGAGGGTTTTCTAGCATGAACCGCCTTTTTAAGGTCATGCCATAGCATCTCAATAGGATGCAGGTCAGGACTTTGACTAGGCCACTCCAAAGTCTTCATTTTGTTGTTCTTCAGCCATTCAGAGGTGGATTTGCTGGTGTGTTTTGGGTCATTGTCCTGCTGCAGCACCCAAGATGGCTTCAGCTTTAGTTGACGAACAGATGGCCGGACATTCTCCTTCAGGATGTTTTGGTAGACAGTAGAATTCATGGTTCCATTTATCACAGCAAGCCTTCCAGTTCCTGAAGCAGCAAAACAACCCCAGACCATCACACTACCACCACCATATTTTACTGTTGGTATGATGTTCTTTGTCTGAAATGCTGTGTTACTTCTAAGCCACATGTAACGGAACGTTTGCCTTCAAAAAGTTCAACTTTTGTCTCATCAGTCCACGAGGTATTTTCCCAAACGTCTTGGCAATCATCGAGGTGTTTCTTAGCAAAATTGAGACGAGCCCTAATGTTCTTTTTGCTTAACATTGGTTTGCGTCTTGGAAATCTGCCATGCAGGCCCTTTTTGCCCAGTCTCTTTCTTACGGTGGAGTCGTGAACACTGACCTTAATTCAGGCAAGTGAGGCCTGCAGTTCTTTAGAAGTTGTCCTGGGGTCTTTTGTGACCTCTCGGATGAGTTGTCTCTGCGCTCTTGGGGTAATTTTGGTCGGCCGCTCACTCCTGGGAAGGTTCACCACTGTTCCATGTTGTTGCCATTGTGGATAATGGATCTCACTGTGGTTCGCCGGAGTCCCAAAGCTTTAGAAATGGCTTTATAACCTTTACCAGACTGATGGATCTCAATTACTTTTGTTCTCATTTGTTCTTGAATAGCTTTGGATCTTGGCATGATGTCTAGCTTTTGAGGTGCTTTTGATCTACTTCTCTGTGTCAGGCAGCTCATATTTAGGTGATTTCTTGATTGAAACAGGTGTGGCAGTAATCAGGCTTGGGGGTGGCTACAGAAACTGAACTCAGGTGTGAAACACCACAGTTGGATTATTTTTTAACAAGGGGGGCGATTACTTTTTCACACAGGGCAATGTAGGTTTGGATTTTGTTCTCTCCCTAAATAATAAAAACCATCATTTCAAAACTGCATTTTGTGTTTACTTGTGTTATCGTTGACTAACGGTTAAATGTGTTTGATGATCAGAAACATTTTGTGTGACAAACATGCAAAAGAATAAGAAATCAGGAAGGGGGCAAATTGTTTTTCACACCACTGTATAAACCTTTGTTGACACTTGACAAAATATCAAACCCATCCTGTATTTGCATTAATACATTTTAAACTCTGGGGATTATGTCCCGTTTACAGCACAATTAGTTCATGTAAGTAAAGATTAGGAAAAATTATCTCAAAGGCTGACACAAAACAAATCCAGCTGTAGTTGGAAATCCAAATAACTGCAAATAAAATGGGTAAAGCTAACAAGTTCCATCAAAGGCAAAAAATAAACACCATTCATTGTGTCTGCTGAAAGACGCTCAGAAGGGTTGAACTAAACAAGGTCTGATGGTAAATAAGAGCACTAGCAACCAATCTGCTGTCACTTATTAGACTACAACAAATGTCGCTCATCAGCGTTTGCTGCACAGAAGGAGATTGGGTCAAGAAGTCTGAAACAAACGCTGGTTTGCTCTAAACTCCCTCACCTGACCAAGCCACAACACCCTGGGTCAGAAGAGCTGGAGCTAAACATCAACAAGAAAATTTATGATAGGACTTTCCAAGTGAGGGTTGTAGGGAATGTTGCTGTGATCCCAGCAATCACACAGGCCCGGCACATCAGAGCAAGAGATGCAGCAGCAGAGTGGAACAGGAGCACGGACACAGATTTAAATAAATATAGCATGGAATCTGCATGATGGCCATTTTCAGGCCAGGTGTGGAAACACAGCGCTGAAATCATACAAACATATTTAACTACAAGCAGAAACTATACGTGGGGAGCAATAAAGAGCAAAGAAAAGCAACAACACATAAAATCCTCTTAAATCACTGCTAAGTGATGTAAGATATGACAGCAGATTCAATGGAACCATGTGTTAAGACACTTGTATCTCTGTAGTAGATGTAGTAGTAGCTTTGTCTTTACAGGTCAAGCTGTGGTGCAAACAGAGTTCACATACACCACTGACACAGCAACATATCACTTAGGGTCAGGCTGGCGGGATGAACAGAGCTGACCTACTAACTAACTGAGCAGCAGATGCTGAGCTGCCCTGCTAACTGGATCTTTCACCACACGTGCTTTACTGACTGACTGTGTGACTAGCAGGTTAACGGCTTTGCTGAATGACTTTTGCTCAAGTTTGACAAGCTGACTCAATGGCTGAACACAATACGACACCATTAAATCGACTGAATCATGCTGTTGCATCACTGAACTGTTGTTGTCAGGCTCCAAGATGATAAAAACCATGATACCCGCAACACTTCAGCAAGGAGGAATCAGACTGTCCTGCTGCTGATGTCTCAAGTTAACTTCAGAAAAGAAACATTCTGATAACCGCAGAGATTTAGATCCTCTAGAACAATTATGTCCGTTCTCTCTGTTGAATCAGAGATTATTCGATGTCTGATTAGTCTTCCTCACTAGAATTACACCAAACATGATCTCTGAGGAACTAAGTTAAGTTTTAAAGTTGCAACAATCTAAAGGAAGAATTCAACATAACATTAGGGCAGCATTTCTCCCACTGAGTATAACTCAGGGTAACGAGTTTTTGTTTAATCTGACCTTTTGACATAATGCCTGGGTAAGCTACAGCAGAGGTCTCCTACATTTTCAGCTTTTGACCCATAGACCAGGAAAACTTATGAGCCCAAAAATCCCAGGTTAAACTGTACGAACGCTGCTAACAAGCTGTTAAAACTAGAACATAAAAAATACACAGGTTAAAGTATAGAAATTCACTTCTAGCATTTATTATTTTTCTGTTTGATTTCTGGAAATCCTCTCCAGACCTCCAGCTTGTGTCCCACGACCCACAACGGGGACCTGGCCACAACTGTTTTGAGTGCCACTGATCTAAATAAGATGCATTATTACCTCATAAAAACACTGCCGTCATCCTTTACGCTGAACATGAATGTATATTATAGTTTAAAACGAACGTTTTCCTTGTGAAAGCTTAGAAAGACACTTCTGTGATTTTTCGGCGTCGTTTGGAGGTCCCGTTGATGAAACCATGCGCAGTGCCCAAAGGCGCAGCCACAACAAATAAACCCTTCCTGGATTTACTCCCAAACCCGAATCATCATGAACGCGCTGCCTCTCCGGTGTCCGATCCCTCGGCCTTCCTCTCTGCGCTGGTAATAAAGTTTTTACGGTCAAATCATCACGATCCAGCGGAGACAGTGAAGAGCGAGTCCTGAAAGGCCACATGCACCGAGCACCACGAGCACCGGATATGCTCCTCTCCTCTCCTCTCCGGCTGGCCTGTGAAGCGCTGAGGCAGGATTAAGCCGAGTGTTCACGCGTCCACTTACGCATCGCGGTGGAAACCCAACCGACCCGAACAAACGAGGCGATCTTCCGCGTTCAGTCCCAACTCGGTACACCACTTCAGCGTGGAGGCGCACGGCGATTGTTGCCGCCCGGGTCCTTGTCTATTGGTTCCTTTTCAGGTGGGGCAGCGTCAGCACACACACACACACACACACACACACACACACACACACACACACACACACACACACACACACACACACACACACACACACACACACACACACACACACTTGCAACTCCATCGCCCCCCATGGGTGTGCGAGGCCGCGGGCTGTGACGCAAATGGCACTGAGTGTTTGCAAATAACATACCTGTTTTAATTCACTGCCATCGCTGCAAAACGGGCTACAGGTCCCAAAATGTTCCACTGCCCGATGAGTTTGCAAAGGCGGATGACGCGGTTGCATAACTCGTGAAACTTAATAAAAACGTGCACTGAGAGCGGTGTGCTGCCGGTGTGGATGCGTTTGGGCACGGGTTTCGATCTGGTTCGGCTGACCTGCATCACAACACTCTGGATCACGACACTACATCGACTTTTGCGCCACAGCCGGAACCGAGAGGAGCGGATACACTAGGACTCCGGTGGCCTCGCCGAGCGAGGACGCATGCACGTAGCTGGCGGTGAGAGCCAGCCAGGGCAGCCGGAGTGGGACTGGGGACCACATTCACAGGCCATAAAGGGCCCGCTTGAATACTATTGTGCTCTTTTATCCAAGAGTCTCCCAACTATTTACAAAAGGTTGGCCAGCGCACACACAAAAACATGCGTCGAAATGGTCGGCGGTTACAGCAGCTGCCACCGTCCCCTCTCTGCGCAAAGCAGCAGCACAATCATTGCGCAGCGCTGGACTTCCCCAGTTTACAGCAAAGTGTGTGATTCGTCCCAAAAAGACTTTTATTCTTGTCTCATTCAGGCTGTGCTCGTGTGGTAGGCAGCGAACCAGAGCGCAAGGCTGTCGCCGTTCTCATGGCACGATTTGCATCGCCCCCATTATCCCCGAAAATCTCCTTTTACACGCTTATATTGTCGGGCCAAAAACGCCACTATTTCCAGCAACAAAGGCGCAGCTTCGTTTGATCTGAGGTAAAGGCAAGTCCATAATGCACCTTTTCAAGCTGGAGACGAGAGGCCCCTCGTAACGTTTGCAGCATGGCAGGGGAGTGCGGCGTAAAAACGAGCTAACCCGACTAAAATATACACAAAGACACGGAGCAGCGGTTCCACAAACACATCCACCAACAAGATGGAGGGCACACTAAACCATCCGCCGTCTGGTGGATCCACCTCCAGCCGGGGAGAGTGCTATCATTACTGATGGAAAACGCTGCGTTTTGCGGCTCCGTGCCACCTTTTCCAAGAAGCAGCTTGGCGCACAGGACCAGTGACCCTTCCATCTTTGCGCGTCCTTCTGCCAAGCGAGATCACGAATAATCTGCCGTTTTTACGGCTCGTGGTTGAATTAAAGACGTCGCTGTAGGTGATTCTGCCTTTGAGGAAGTGAACGCTTCGTGTAAATGCTGCTACAAGTCTCTGAAACTATTCCTCTCCCCGCCGCGGCCAGGCAGAAACAAGAGGGCGATGACGCCATTTTCTGCAAAAACAACCATGCTCGGGAAGCCAGAGCGAAGAAGCTTTAACCCGCTCCGCAGCCCTCCAGCCCGGCTCACACGCGTCCGAAACGAGTCCTTACCTTGTATTTCTCAGCCCGGTGGTGGGATTTTGTGATTGGAAGGATAAACCGAGCGATCGTCGCTACTTCGACTCCGGAGGTTGTTGATTTCGCCTCCCAGCGTCTCCGGTTCCCTCTGAACAAGTTCCTCTGCGAGCCGCTGTCTTTGTGCACCCAGAGGAGCCACTCGGCATTGAACCAGTCTCTGCGCAAAGGTGCACCCTCTACGTCCGATTTCTGCCACAAATCCCGCACCTACAAGGCGTCATTTTTAGAAAATATGGAATAAATGTAATGTTTTCAATAAAAAAGTTGAATAAATCGCGCTTCTTTCAGCCAAGGCCACGTCTGAAGTGGTGATTTATATCGCCAAAACGCGCAACCTTTTCAGGATACGCTTCTCCTGAGTCCAAACGCAAACGAAAGGAGGGGAAGTTACTCCCTCAAAAAGGCGAATTCAGCAAATAAAAGACGTACTTTATATTAATATTTGAAACAAATCAAAAAAATTCAGTTTTGAACATTTACATCTTAGTGATTTTGAAATTTGTGGGAGAAAGTCAGCCTTTACTGACAACTTCTCGCCACATTTATCTGATTTACAAGTCATAAAAGTTGTATTTCTTTTACTCTCATTACTTTCTAACCTATGTGTGTTACTGTGTGTTTTTTCTCTTAATTTAAAAATATTTCAGTTTCCAAGAATGAAACTTTGATTCTAAAGTCATCAGAGGTGGAAAAATGTACCAAAACTACCGCAAACGGTTGAAATTTTTAAGTAACAAACAAGAAAAGGCAGAAACTAAAACCCTACAAATGCTTTTACATAAAAATAGTGCAGCACTGCAGTTTTCCAGTAAAAATTCGACTTAGACAGAATTGCCTGTGAGCATTAACAGAAATCTAAAAACACCTTGACAACAAAAATGGAAAATATACAAAAAGAATACTAATATTTTTTTCTTGATACTATTAACATACAAAAACATGTCTTAAAGTGGCAAATCAGATATTTCAAAACGATTAATGTGGAAAAACATCTGCTGTATACAGCTCGTTGAACAACTTTATCTTGAGAAATTGAGATGATTTCCTACTGGTGACAAAATAATGAAAATCAGAGAGATGTTAAAGAGGTCTTTCATACAACTCTTCTGATCTTAAATTTGTTAAAAACGTTTGTGCAAATGTTGTTTCTTTAATATTTAAATGCAGTAAAATGTATGCACCTTTGGAGCTAAAACGCTGTAAATTCAAAATGCAAGCTGAATCAGATGTGTTGTCTAATTTCTGCTCCATCAACCTGAAATAAAATTGAAACAGAAATTCACAGATTCTGTTTGTTTTTGGTCTGCAGAGTCACCAAGTAATTTGAGATTTGTTGCTACCTGCTCCCTTCAGGGAGGAAGAAATAAGAAAAATTTTATTAAGTCGATTATGCTTAAATCAGCAGATATCTTGGCTCATCTCTTCTAAAACATTATTTACACGGACTAAGTTTAAATGATGGCAGTGATTCATTTAGAAAATTCCATTTTCAAACTAGCAGTTAGCCAATTATGGTCAAAACAGATACTTTTTAAAACGGAGAAGACAATGTATAGCATACCAAAAGGTCTGTGCCACCTCCGACCTGCTTTACTATGTAGATTAGTTAGTTCTAACAAAATCTGGTATGCCATAATCTCAGACACACACCCTTCCCTTTGCATGTCGCAACCCACTTCGGTCAGCAATGTATTACCGTTGGTAATGGTATTGCTAACCGCTAACAATGCTAGCCTGAGCTACTGCTAATGCTAGCCTTTGCTAATGCTAATGTCCTTCACCTCATTTCCATTATAAGAGTTCCAGTAAATTTCTGGTGGGGGAAAAGTGACCAAGAGGTATGATAGCTTAGTCCTCTCAGCCGTTATGTCTCCATACAAAATCGACCCTAAGACGTCAGCATTTTGCAACAATTTCGGCAGTGTGTGACTGATCAGCACCAAAACGCATTCACAGACATTAATATCTTTAAAAGTTTTATTCTTTACACTGTAATTTAATCAATCTGTGGGACTAGCAGAGCAGCTGTGTGATTTAAAAAGCGGCATTCAATGACCAGAAGAAGTACTGCGCTCTGCAAGACCACAAAGTGATAAAAAGCATTGTGTGGGGATTTCTGCCACATTTCAGCGTGAGCACTGCTTCTTTCCTTTCTTTTCACGCCACTTCACCAGCAACTCCTCCAGTTTTACAAATGTTGTTGGCGATGCCTGCCAATATAATTTCCAACTGAGTTACAACAAATCAGCTTGAGTAACTACAAATCTCACCCAGTGACTCTACTGGGCCATTTCCAAGTACACAGCCCTGTTCAGGTGCCTCATTGGTTCCTGAAATGGTCCAGAAAAGGGTCCATTGGAAGGTCCGCTAAAATTACCCAAAAGTTCGAATAGTGGAAACGGGCCTCTTGTTGCACTTGACAAAAACAACAAAGAAGAATGTTGGAGCACCACTCACGTTCCATAATGTACTGGGACAATCCAGACTATGTGAATACCACATAGATCCACAGTTTATGGTCCTTGTTCTTTTCCTCGTTTGTCTGCAAACCCTAGTGCCCTTGTTTATGAAATGTTTTAAAAGTGTCCTATATTCCATCCTGCGAATGAAATTTATAATATTCGTACAAACAGAAAAAATCCTGATTTATGCACCATGCACTGGCCACTCCTACCCATGTTGCTCCGCTCATAAATCCCACCTGTGCGTACCCAAGTGCACGTATCCATTCACAGTCATTTACAGAAACACCTTCAATTAACCCTAATTGGTCACACCAAATCCTAAGCTTATGAGGAAATTCTCTGTGTTCTTCCCAAAATAAAAAGAAAACTTTTTTCAGCGTGAGGAACATATTTCTATCTATTTCTAACTTTTTTCTAAACTATTTAATTACAGGTCCCAATAGTTAGTGTAATCTTTGTCCCAGGCATTTTGTGCCACCCCTCTCCCTGCTTTCACATAGGGATGCACCGATCAGGTTTTTTGCTGCCGATCACCGATACGATATCAAAGAATGCTGATCACCGATACCGATCACCGATACCGATCACGTGGATTGGCCAGAAATTTTCTACAACATTATAATGAGTGCTACAAACTACATAATCTGGGAATAAAGCAAATGTAACCTAATATAAAAATGGTCTGTATTAGGGTTGTCACGGTGTGAAAATTTAACCTCATGGTTATTGTGACCAAAATTACCACGGTTTTC